ACCAAGGATTAAGGGRAAAACCCACCAGAACAAATCCGCGCTTTGGCTGTATTCTTGCCAGCCAAATTTAGGAGGAGCTGAACGAGATTTTATCAAGAGACCATGAAATTACCATTTTTGAGGATACTACTGACCTCACTCCAGTCTCATCATCCCCAGTCACAAAGATCCCAGTGTTGGGAAGTGGCTGAACATCTGGTCTGGGGATCTGAGCAATCAGCCTGGCCCAGCACAGGCTCAGCTCACAAACAGCTCCTGTAACTGGGATTTGYTTTAGTTAAAATTATTCTGATAAAAGCTGAAATACAGCATTTTCCCAGGTATATTCTGCATTTAAAACAATCTTTATTTGATCCTGTTTGGCATGGGATAAAACAGTCACATGGAATTTCAATGCCATGTGTGTCACAAAGGAGTCGTCTTCCCTTTGACCAGTTTGATTATAATTTCATTAATTAGTAGTTTAGTGCTAAACAATTTGAGTGYTCTTTCAAAAATGTTTTAATACATSCACTTCTGTTTAATTTAGTTGGGATAATGAATCCATCCAGCTGGCACAGAGTTGGATCCCACAAGAAACAGGTAAAACAGTCTGGTTTATGTTTTTACTGCAGTTCTTAATGTGATATTTATTCTACAGTAACATGGAGGTGTTTTTATACACAGTTATATTTGCATCAGATGTGAGAATCAATTTTGACAAATTTAGGAACTGCATGACTGCAACTGTGATATCCAAAACCATCATTACAACTAACCCCGGTAAGAGCTGCTGAAGTATTTCTTTGGTTTTAGTAATTTTTGTAGGCTAAAATGCATTAATTAATCTATTGGAGGTCTGGTTCCTCCTGCCTGCTTTTTTCACAAAGCTYCCTGCTTTTTGTCTGCTATGCAATGACCAATGTCTTTGGCTTCTACCCTTATTTTTTATTTATTTTACTTTATCTAAGCAGCCTTAATATGTTTATTCCATGCAGGCCTAAGTGCTAAAGTGAAAAAGAGAAAAACAAATCTTGGCTTATTCCAAAGTATTTGTGCTACCAGGATAAAAATGCTGTGATTTTTACATGCAACATATACTAATAACTTTTAAAAATGTCTCTTCAGAAACAGCAGAAGCAAATGTTCTCTTCAGTTTCATCAAAGAGAGTGCCCAGTCGGGAGCTCTGCCTGACCCAGTGAAGGAGCTGGCAAATGAAACCATTAACTGTAAGCATGGACACAGACATTCAATTTGATTTACCTGCATAATATAATTTCATAGTGCAGCTGAAAGAATTCCTGCTCTGTGTGTTCACAGCAACAAAACTCAGGTCCAGCCTGGATGAATATTTAAGGTTTGGACTGTTGGTTTCAGGGTTGTCCYTTATTTTATCACTAAGTACCTTCAGCTGACCGTGCCAGCTGCAGCCTGTCTGGCGTGTTCTTTCTGTCTGGAATAAGTATGGAAAATTGAGGGGGAAAGCTTTTGTCAAAAACTCCTTTTGGAGGACATAAAGATTAACTAAAAGATATATTCCTGATCTGAACCCCCTTTTGTTTTACTTTTTTTTTGGTGCGGGCTTCTCTGATGGTTTAAATCTCCTTTTCATTACCTTAAGATACATCTTTGCCATTGCTCTTTTGAATCATTTCTTGCTCACACACACTGAATGTGTCTTTTAAACTTGTAGTGGAGACTGTAGTRGATGTCTATACAGTGGAACAGCTRAAAGAAAAAGCTCTCCAGAGTGATGGGAAACTGGAGCCTCTCCATGGCATTATTTATGGCTACATTTCCACCCTGGATATTGATGAGAATGTATCCAAAGTTCTGCGAAACAGATGGTGAGCAACTGCCTGCTTGGAATCTGTGCTAAAAACTGCTTGTCCCTCTTTTCCAGGAGATGGAGCAATATTTCAGTCCAGTTCCAGAGAAGAAATAAAACTCGTCTKGGGGGTGCCATGTGGGTTTCTGTTSTGTAGGCTTYCTCAAGAGTGGGCTCTGTGAAGGCCTTGCTCTTTATGGTCYCAGAGTGAAGAAGAAAGAGGCCATTTGTCTCAGGCAGATTCAAGTGTTTAGAAGAATTTTTTTWAAGACAAAGTCTCTTGAGAAATCTYAGTCTAGAAAAATGTTGCRGGAAGAATAAATTGCCTATCTGCATGAATTATCTCCTTCTGTTYCAGCTCAATCTGCCGGTTCATTGTGAATGAAGTGTCAAACACTTGCACCTTCTGCAGTGATGCCTCTCCAGAGTCCAGGTCCACCTTTGCCAGCTTTGACATCCTCGTGGATGTGACAGATCACACAGGCACYCTGCGTTCCTGCTACCTGTCTGACAGCGTGGCTGAGGAAACCTTGGGCTGCACAGTAAGGACGAGAGAACTGAGCTGTTCTCACTGAGCTGAGTGTGAAACCTGATGAGAATGACAAATAGATGTAAATGTTCTGCTTGTGCGTGTACAACAGTTAAAAAAATAGCATGGATGGATGGATGGATGGATGGATGGATGGATGGATGGATGGATGGATGGATGGATGGATGGATGGGTGGATGGATGGACACACACAGAGAACTGTTTAACAAGGAAAAAGTTGGAACAAAAATTGTATGCAATGTAAGAGTGAACAGGCAATTCAGAACACTGCTTTTCTGAAAATGTGGTTGGAAATTCCTGACTGATTCTCCAACACCCTGCAATTTATTCTGGGTAATTTGACTGTCTTGGTACATGTATCACACCAACCACTATGTTAAAATAAAAAAAAAAATGCGACTTAGACATCAATAAAATGTGTAAGATGTTTTAACTACCTGCTGAAGTGCTCTGTGGTGTCCTGTTAACAGGTCGATGAATTTCTCATGCTGGAAGAAGACCAGAAGACTGCACTGAAATGGCAACTTCTCTTGGAACGAAGCAAGATTTATTTCAAAGTTAGTATTTAATGTTAATTTAAAACAGTGGCTGCTTTTCACTTTTAAACTTGCCCTTCTTGGCAAAACTCTTCTTACTTTTCCATCTCCCCCTCCTCTGTCYCTATTTCCAGGACAAAATGAAAGTGTTTAACTTCAGCAGTGCYAGGTATATGGCATAAATGTGTACTCATACAGGAAATAATGCAAATAAATCTCTCAAACATGCTCTGTGACATCTGAAAATAATCTCTATCAAGGTGCTGTGATAACAAAAATCCTTAATTATTTTTCCAGGTCACTTCATCACCCAACTGGAGAAATGGATTAAAAGTGAATCTTCTTTCCTGCAAACTGGCAGATCCTGTAGAGGCGAGTCARAGTTTGTTGGGAAGAGATTGGAAGTAATAATTAATGCTAGGAAAGTCTTCCCTGACTCTGTTATTAGAGATGGAATTCTGTTATTGTTGGATTTTGCCAAGTCCATTCTGATGGTAAAGGTGGAGTGCACATTACAATACCCCTAAGTGGACTTCCGGGTTCATATTTCTTGGTGATTGTACTTTAAAAAGTATACTTGGGCCTCAGCTTAAAGGTAATTCTACCAAATTCAACCCCTTCCAAGAGGGGTGGAGGGTTTCCTCACTCAGATGAGATCTTTGAAAAAATCAGAGATCAAACATGTCAAGACAGATCTGCTGAACTTCCGTGGTTTTAACTGCTTTGCTGCTTTTGTGTTAAAGAAATAAAGACCCTTTTTGAAACACTGCCTGGGTTTGTGGTGCACCTTGGTGAGGCCAAACACTGAACTCTGGGCAGCAGCAGGGTTGATTATCTTTGGGCAGACTAAGTCTAATTAGAGCAGAGTAATCAATTAGCAGTGACCTCTGACAAGCAAACAATSAAGCTGGGCTGTAAGCAGGACTCTGTTCACCAAAGCTGGACTTAAAGAACCCAGGTATGCTGATTGTGCCTTTCTCCATGTATTTTTTCCCTTTTTTAAATATATTTCTGTCCATAGCTTCCCCTCCAGCTGGTGTTATTTGTTACATTCTCACCTTCTGAGCACGTTGGGACTCGGCCTATTTTAAACAGAGGGAGACCCCCATCCCTCCTCTGGCAAAAGAGTTGTTAGGCCAGGACACTCTGAGGATCCTGGACCACCCTGGTGCCCTCCCCACCCCTTCTTGTGGCACAGAGAAAACAACCACAGAAACAGGAAATWCTGTCAAGCAATCCAAGATTGCATCCTGACTCTCATGGGTGGGAACAACAGACCCCAAAAATGCTGCCAGTGTTGGGTCACGGCATCCCTCTTGGAGCAATAAACAATTCAATGTTTTCCAGCAATAGCAATTCCCATTCTGAAGGGAATGTTTCCAATAACTGAATCCTAACTCTGTCAATACCCAGGGCTGCAGACCAAACTGCAAATGATGCACTGCTGCTGTTGCCAGAGATGGGAATGTTTAACAGGCAGGAGGAAATGCAAACAGTACAGACACTTAATTCCATCCTTCCTCTTCCAGAACTGTTCACCCTAATGTCTCTTTTAACTCTGCACCATGTTCTGCTTTCTTCTTCCAGTGTGGTGTGCAGGACCCTGGACCACACTGCTCTCACAGACCTGCTTCTCTTGAGAAGACAAGAATTTTCTCTGAAAAACCCCCCACTCTTAAAACCAAATCTTTTTTTCTAGCAGTTATTAAGATCTGGCCCTGATAAATGGAAATGTTTAACTTTGGTGCTTTGAATTTATGTAAAAAAAAAAAAAAAAATCCATCTGTTTTTGTCAGAAATCAGCCAGTTCTGTGCAAACTTTGAAAATGGTAAGTTTTGATGTTTGCATGGGGAGGATTTTTTAAATTTATTTTACAACTTTGTCTGTTGCTCTGTTGAATTGAAAGAGAACTTGCTGTCATGCAAACTGGTGGGGAATGTTGGATCAGCTGGAGTTGGGAATTGGGGAAAGTTACCCAGCACGGCTTTTAGCAGCTGGAAATACTTAAAAACTCCAACTGCTGYACTGCATTGGGTAACAGCAATTGCTGCAGTTACATTTTTACTAAAAATATACTGAAATCAGTCAAAAGACAAGTTTAGTGGTGATCTTTACCCATATGCTTCTTTATTCTTGATCTTTTTGCATTATTTCACTTTTAGAAAATATATTTGAGGCTCAGTTTAGTCAAAAAACAATCTGCCAAACATCTGGCACACTTCCTGCTGCAGTCGCCCCTTGGAGTGAGGGGAAAAGACATCCTCCTTTAATTTGTATGTTTGAAAAAAGCAGGGAGGAATCACAAAACTAATCAAAAAATCAAACATCCTTCTCTTTTAGAGGAAACTCTTGGTGAAGCTGCAATTCTTGATTTAGGGTTGCACATCTATACATATCCCTTTGATTTCCCACAATATGGCTGAGCTTTAGCTCCTACATCATCATTTTAATTTTTAGTTGATTGATAATTTTTATTTTAAGACAATACACTGGCAAAGCTCAAAGATTCAGCAGAAGAGAAGCACACACAGAATGATGACCAGCCYCACCCCGCTCCCTGGCTACCGGGCATACTGTCTCCAGTTCCCAAGTATGGTTTTGGAATTAAATTTTGGACTCTGGAGCTTCTGAGCTCCACCTGCTCCAGGCTGGCTGCATCCCAGGTTTGCTGAAGCCTCCATGGAAATGGGGCTGTGTCAGTCAGACTCTTTTTGGGCTCATGGATTCCATTCCTTGATGYGTGGCAGTCCATCGAGCACTTGGGGCTGTGGAAGTGTTTCCAGATGTCCTCATGCCAGGCAGGCTCCTGGCTGGATCCATGCATTAGGATCCCCGTGTCTGCTGTGCCACCTTAAACCTCATGGACAGCACGTCCCTGATGCCAGCCTCAATCTCATCGTTGGCCTCCACRGACCCAACGCCTTTGGGCGACCCTGTCAGAATCAGGTCCCCCTCTTCCAGGGGGATTATCTCGCTGATGTAGCTGATCAGATAAGGGATGGAGAAGATCATGGAGGAGGTGTCCCCCTCCTGCCTCAGCTTTCCGTTCACCTTGAGCCAAATCTGCAGCTTGTGGGGGTCTGGGATCTTCTCCTTGGGCACGAAGTCGCTGACCGGGCAGGATGAGCCAAATCCCTTGGCCAAGGTCCAGGGCAGCCCCTTCTTTTTGCAGTCCTCCTGCGTGTCCCGGGCTGTCATGTCCAAACACAGGGCATAGCCCGCCACGTGCTCCATGGCCGCCTCCTGCGACACGGCCCGGGCCCTTTTCCCGATGACCACCCCCAGCTCCACCTCGTGGTGCAGGTTCCGGCAGTAGTAGGGCCGCAGGATGGGGGACCCCTCCCGCACGTAGGCCGAGGAGGGCTTGAGGAAGAAGAGCGGCTCGGCGGGCAGGGCGCTGCCCATCTCCTTGGCGTGCTCGGCGTAGTTGCGCCCCACGCACACGATGTTCTTGCCCCACTCCCAGAAGCGGGACAGGGGTTTGGAGGTGGCCATGACCACGGAGCGCCTCCCGACCGCCCTTGCCGCGTCCTTGTCGGGCTCCGCACGGCGCGGCCGCCGCTGCTCCTCCTCMGCGGGGTGAGCGGGCGGGCCGAGGCCCGAGGAGCCGCCCCCG